ATAATGCAACCTACCCTCCATGGTAACAAGTTATGAAAAGGCAAATAATAAGAAAATTAACCTCAAAGCAATCAATAAATATTTACAAGAAAGCATAAAAAAAGGCTAGATTAGCTTCAAGACTCATGCAATACAAATTCATGTATAACACTAATCTGGAAATACATTCTAATTTCCAAATTTAACCTGATTAAACTTGTATCAGGATATACTAACATAACTAACATAAAATTTGGGGGTGACGCAAAGTTTTCTAAATTTTTTCTATTTTCAAAAAAAAAAAAAAAAAAGACAAAGAACTTCTCAAACAACACATACAATTTTTCAAAATAACCCTGCATTTCTAATCATCCAGCATTCTCTCATACATTGTAATATTGATAAAGGAATAACATTGAGGTAATTAACATTACATGTGCATAATGAATAAACAATTAGAAGCATTTTAAGTTATACGGATGAGAAGAACTACCATAATGAATAAACTCATCATAATAAATATAATGAGCCAAGTGAGGCATGTAGTTTTCGAGCTCTCTGAGTATACCTGAACAGCGCGAACATTGGCACGGCCCGTGCTCGCCAAGCTCTGCTCAACAGCCCTCTCTGTAGAGTCCAAAATCTGCCCATATAGACCACATTCAACAATCAAAATAAAGAGATCAATAGCATTTACATATTAACCACCTAAACTTTACGTTTTGCATTTAAAACACCCAAATCATTCATATTACATAAAAAACCACCATTTTAGCTTTGAAAAAGTGGAATACACCATTTCATGCACAGTTAAGGAGGCATGTATGTAAGAATTGATGTTTAGGTGCCAGATATGTAAAAACATAGGAACTGAATGGTATGCATTTAAATCTTCCAAAGAATAAAGAAGTTACCATTTCAGTTTCATTCAAGGATTTATTCATCAGGAGACTGCTTTCCTTTAGTTGTTTTGCCAAAGTAACCATTTCATCTGTTAAATCAGACTGAAGTTTTCTGCAAGACAAATAATAGATTTTTAAACTCGTCACCAATAAAAATATATTATCTACCATAATTCAAGGTATTTTCAAGATAAACAAACAAGCCATCTTTCATATTCTTAAAAAAAGGTAGGGATAATTACAAATAGAGCACTCAGTGATTTTTATTTATTTATTTATTTTTTAACTACCAAATTGGTGCATTTACATGCGTCATGATCAAATCATTGAGAATTTGATAAAAATGAAAAATATGGGCTGAGATTTTATCGTAAATTTTGATATTTGAGTGAAAATTTAAAAACTGGATGAAAGAGGGCGCTAGGTTTGTAAATAGCAATGTTTTGAGTGCTATGATATGCTAACAAAACAAATGAATTGATAGCAATACATTTAGTTAAAAAATATATGGAAAATTTGATTTACCAGTAATCACGTGCTTCAATAGTAAATATTCCAGAAAGGACTATTTAATGAAATTTCTTATGCAGGAAGAAAAAAAGTCAAGCCTACTTTACATTTTCATCCACTCTGGGAACATAATTAGTTTTCTGCTCATAATTGTACTCCTAATGTAAGAAACTTCCGTCATCATCAGGATAATATAAGAGCTTTCTGCCTTAGAGAAACAACTCTATTGCAAGGTTTCTGTCACATGAAAACACATCATGCGAAATGTAATTTAAAAAATTAAAGGGAGGTTCACATACATAACACTCAGTTCTTATAAATTTACATATCTAACACCTAAAGTTTCCTTGTCACAGTTTTTTTACATTTATACTACCAAAATCTTTCATATCACATAAAAAATATCACCAGTTTAACTTTTAAAAAGTGAAATAAAACTTTTCATACATAGCTATGGTACGTTAAAGTTGAAGTTTAGGTGTTAGATATGTCAATACATAGAAGTTGAGTGGTATAGATATACATCTTCCAAAACTTAAACCATGCTCTGTCAAGATGTTCTGTCAAATGCTTTTGAACTGCATTAATCCTATTCATCTAATTTAGCTAGGGGTGTAACGGAGCCAAGTCCAACTAGTGAGCTCGTGAGCCAACTCCTTTAAAAAATATTTAATTAAAATAAAAATATTCAAAATATACTAAAATTCTATACCATATGTTGAAGTTATTAAAAATATAAAAAAAAATGATATTTTACATTTCATATCAATTAATTTCTTATTATTTTTCTTAATTCCTCGTTCAAGTTGACATTTTAGTATAACACGAGGTCACTAGCTTGTATTAACAGTGTTTTCTCTCTTTAACAATAAATAAGCCGGCTTGAACTCGTCAAACTTGAGCTCGAACTTGATTAAATTAGCTCGACTCTACTCGCTTACACGCCCGAGTCCTACCAGACAAGAAGATCAAGGGCGAAGAAGTTGAACAAGAAATCAACAGAAGTATGCTTCTTTGAAAACGAGTCAAAAAATAACAATGATTAATCGTGAAAAAATTTAAAATGGACTGGCAGAAAAGGGTAAGAAAATACCTATGCTTCTCAATATGTGCATGTGCTTCTGCATCCAATTTTACAGGTGTTCCAGTATCCATCGCGACTGTCTCATGGTTTCTATCAACTTTTGTTACAGATCTACCGATTTTAGAGCCACTAAATCACCTCATGTAAATAGACAAAATGAGCAGCATGGAAATAGAAAATATTAGCATACTTACGCAGTTCTTCTTCTCAAGCTGGGAGTAGGATATGTATGGCTTTCAGGATTCTCTGATACAGGAACAATTTCCTCAACAGAAGTTTCTTGAACAGCCTCCATAGATTCTGGCTAGCAGATTTATTAAAGAATTTCAACAAGCACACTTAATGAAATTTTCAAAAAAGCATAGATGAAGAAACAAGAACGACTACCAAAAATTAAGATTTCGGTTAAATAAGAAGAAAGCACTGAAAAAGACATCTAAACCTGATGACTTGAGCATCGGAACTCATTCACACAAACAAAAACTAGTTTAATTTTCTATCTAAGAATGGAGAGCTATAAATGAAAGGGGCATTTACATTCATAGCACATAATTCTTATGTATTTACATATCTCAAACTTAAAATTTCATATTTACACACATGGCACTCAAATATTTAATGTCAGGTAAGAATAGCACTATTATCATTTTTTAAAAGTGAAATACAACTTTTGATGCATTGTTTTGAAGCATCAATTTACAATATGTAAATATGAAAGTTTAGGTGTGATATATGAAAATACATTTTGTGTGCTCAGTACGATTAATTTCCCTAAATGTAATTATAAATATCATGCATGTAGATGTTGGCTAATCCAAAGCTTGAGCTGATTAATCATAGTCTCAATTAAGACACATGAAATAGAATTAGTGTTAAAAGGAAAACAAACGAACCATTTATGTTTGAATAAAACAATTTTACAAAATAGAAAAATCAGTTAATTTGCCAAAATTAAAATTGCATGTTAACCAGTATTTCGACTAAAATTACAGCATTAAATTCATCCTACAAACACCATCCAAAAGAAATCTCAAGAGTAGGATTGCTCCTAAAGGTGTCGAGCCATACTTCAGGAACTAATAATCTAGCAGCAAGGGCTTCAACCTTCTCTGAATATTCATTAAGTTTGGCCTTTGAAATGCTGAAAAAAAAAACCCAAAATAAGGGCCATTAGGGGGATGAGAAGTCAGACAAGGAGAAACATATTATTATGGAAGAGGTACATGCATGCCATGTCACTCACTTCTTATTCATTTACATTTCTAACATTTAAACTTCAATATTTGCATTTATGTCAAATTATTTATGCATGAAAGGTTGTATTTCACAGTTGTATTTCACTTTTTAAAGTTAAAATAGTGATATTTTTTATTCAATATGAAAGATTTGAGTGATAAAAATGTAAATATTTAGATACTTAAATACAAAAGAATTGGGTGGAATGAATGTCCCATTTTTTAAAAGCTTAATATGTTCGAAAAACTACTAAAACTTAAATCAAAGCTTTATACAAAATAAGAACATGATTTGCGATCAATGTTTTTTTAGGAACAACATGATAGTAAAGTTAAAGTACACCATACAAGTAAAATGACCGTTTAAAATTAGCATTAAATTCAGATAAAATGGAACAATGGAAAGATCAGTGCATGTACAGCTTCCAACAATTAGACAATTAAAACTGAGGAAGATTTACACGCATAACACTCAATTCTTATGCATTTACATATCTAACACCTAATCTTCAATTTTTGCATGCATGCCAACTCACCTATGCATGAAAAGGTGTATTTCATTTTTTAAAAGTCAAAATGATGGTATGCTTGATGTGCTATGAAAGATTTGGGTGGTACAAATGTAAAAAATAAAGTTTAGGTGTTGGATATAATTGGAGCGAAGGAAGTAAATTCTTAAATTTATAGGTTTAAAACCTAAAGCAAAATAGAAACACTCCAGAATACTCCAATCTAAACTCAAGCTTAGATTAATTTTTGCTAAAAAAAACCTACATGAAAAAAAAATGGGGAAGTAACCTTTTTCTACAAAGATTTGTGTTTATTCCTAAGCTCAAATCTTCATTTTGTTCTCATCTATCATCTCAGAGTTCGCTCTCCAGAAAATCTTGGACCAATCATTTTTATTTCTTATACAATGTATTGCATTATTTATTTATCTGATTTATATTTTTTTTCATTAATGAACTTACGAGAAATCTTATTTGGCAGTCTATTTGTAATTCTGTGAAAGCATTTACGATTAAAAAGCAATTTTATCTTATACAAATTGTGAAAGAATACACTATTATTATATAATAGCATATCATCAAAAGTTACTGTGTTTAAACGAGCGATCCACAAATTAAAAACCTCATTTTCCAACTCTTATTTCGATGAGAGAACACCAAATATCTCATTTTGTATTTGATTATTCATCCAAACAATTCTTGAGTGGGGCTCGTTGCGTCCTAGAAAATTCTTATCGGTAGAGAATTTTTTGCATTAGTTCAGTATAATTTTCTAGCGCACATACAAATAAAAATGCAAAGAAAACAAAATTTTTACATGAAAAAAATCTTGGAAAGAAAAAAATCGTGAGGCCTAGCCCAATCAAAATAAATCACTAAGATAGTAAAAATACTGAGGTTCACTATGCTTTGAGGGAATATGAAATTAAAAAAAAAACTACCAACCATGGCTATATAGTAATAGTTCGGTTACAACAGTTTGGTCTATAACAATTGTAACTAATGGCTACGAAAAAAGCTATTATCTGCAACAATTACAACTAGTGGTCGACAACGGTTGATGGTTAATCACCTGCACTTCTCTTCAAGAGTCGTACTTTAATTGTCAGTTTACTTTTCCTTTCTCCTTCCCCTTCAAGTGAAAAACTGTGATCTATTTAGAGTTTTTGAGAGGGGCATTTAAATAAATTCAGCTAAGATCTCAAAAAAAATATATCGAACAGTTCGTATTGATTCCCTTGATCACAACAACAAGTCATTATCTCACAGATCGGCTACATAAATGTTTTTTCTCCATTGCGTTTTATTTAGTGTCTTGAATCATTGGTTATTTTTTCAACATTTAGGTGCCTTAACGACCTCAAAATTAAATGATATTGGGCTTGTTGAGTTCCTTTCGTTGACTTGCTCAATTTAACTATATACATGCCAAATTTTGAGAACGTGTTACATACATATATCACCCAATTCATATGTACTTACATATTTAACACTTAAACTTTACTTTTTACATTGATATCACCCAAATCCTTCATATCAAATAAAAAATATCATGATTTTGAGTTTAAAAAAATCACTTTTTTATGTATAAGGCAACATGTAAAAATTGAATTTTAGGTGTTAGATATGTAAATACATAGAAATTGAGAGGTAGGCCTGCAAAGCTTTAAATAATTTGTACAAGTATGATGCCTCACCCGGATACTCCACCCATTGCAGACTCTGCTCCTATCTGTTCCAATAACTCACGTGCTGTTGTAACATACTGCAAAGTTGCACAAACAAGTATCACAAACCTTGAAAAATACCAAATTATACAAATAAATGGATTCATAGTTTCCTACGCCATCAAAAGGTGAACCAAATTATTCTGTCTATTGTTTTGAACTTATACTAATCAGATAGTAACTATTCTAGAAATGAACTAAAGTTCCGTCATCCTCATCATACATAACTTAAAACCAACAATAAAAACTGGGGCATTCACATATATACCCAACAATTCTTATGCATTTACATATAAAACACCTAAACTTTACTCTTTACATTAATACCACCTAAATCTTTCATATCACATAAAACGTATCACCATTTTAACTTTAAAAAGTGAAATACACATTTTCATGCATAAATAAGAGACTTTTATGTAAAAAATTGATGTTTAGGTATTGGATATGTAAATACATAGGCATTGAGTAGTATGTTTGTAAATCTTCCTAAAAAATTTCATCAACATCCACATACCCAATTCAATAATGAAATCTCATTCTCAAAAGCTGCCCTCATAACCAACATTCCTGTGAAAAACAGTATTGTGGAAAGAACCCAACATCCACATACCCAACATTCAAGATATGCAACAAAGAACAGAAAATGAAATTTCTTTCACGATTAAGAACAATCTGAGACTCGCATGAGGATTTCAAACCAATGTGAATTCCATGAACAATCGAATTCATGAGGAACACGTACTGGGACAAATCAACGCGGAAAAACCGTGACAAAGCAGTATAAAAATGCACAAAATTTCACTCACATGGATTAGCTTTACTTGATTCGATTGACGGGGGGCAGCTGCAAGCAACCTCCTCAGGTTCACTTCGTTCTTGCTCAGCCCCATGTGTAAACCAGCAAGTTCACTTCATATACTTCTCTAAGGCTAATGGATCAAAGAATCCGGAATAAATAACTATATAAGAGAGCATAAGGTTGAAGAACTGCACTGAACTTGCATAACTTATTCGTAGATTCGTTATGTAGAATTTAAAGGTATAATAACAAGTAGAAGAATTACAGAACGCGCCGATCCAAACTGGCTGCAATATCCAGTAGAAAAAAGGACGACGAATCCGATATGCACTGAACTGCTTCAAAAATCAGGAATCAGATGCACTGTTCAACTCCAAATAACTACATAATAATAAGTAGATCATCGGTAATTTCAAAACATGAGAAGAGCAATAAATCCTCATCTCATTTTGTTAATCCCAGCCCAACAAAACTGCATCGAAATTCTAACATTATAGATCAAGCAATGCAATCGGGGCTGCTTGGTAGCCGGATTTAAGCAGGATTTAGAGGATTTAACCTAAATCCTGCCAAACAGCAACAAAACACAACTTTCCCACAGTATCTTAAATACCTTTTCTTCTTCGTTGGATTTACAGGATTTAGATGAGCTGAAGCAAGCGAAACTGGCGGGATGAAGGAACATAAAAACGAGGGTTGGTCGGGTAGAAGCGGAGTGGAAAAAGGAGATATAGTGGAGTTTCGGAGATCTTTGAACGTCGCGATCCCGTCGCTCCCTTCCGAGCTAGATCTATTCGCAACGGTACCGCGATTGTTTCGGGGACGGAAGGGGAGAAAGGATACGGTAGGCGATGGTTTCAGGCGAAACCAGGAGAAGGAGAAGCGAGGTAGGCGAGGTTCGCCGGAGATGGGAAGCGAAATGAGAAGGCAGTTTTCGGTATTTAATATAATTTTATCCACTTAATTTTAATTAATTTAATTGATTAATATCAATAATCAATAATTATAAGAGTATTTACACATGTATCACACAATTTTCTTTTATATATACCTATTTAATGAATAAAAAATAATATTTATGAGCATAACACTCAAATTTTTAATATTATATTAAAAAATATTATTATTAATTTTTATTTTAAAAGTAATATATATTTTTCAAACATAATTTTACTCACAAAGGCGTTATAATTATAAATATTAAACTTCAGATGTTAAACATTAAATGCATCAAAATTTTGATATGCATTTAATTTTTTCATAAACATATTATCAAGTTATTAAAATTATATAAATTTTATCTATAATTATTTAATAATTACTTAACTTAAAAAACAAATATTAAATTTAATTATTTTCTATATATTTATAATAGAACATTAATTGTCTAATAACAATATCATTATTGGGTCATAAGCTCCGAATGTAAAAGTGTGGCTTTATGTTTGATAGTTAACAACCAATATAATTTTTTTGTCAAATAACTATAACATAAATTCTTTATATCATTATGTTAATATTTATACGTTCCTCAGAAGTCACACATTATATGGATTAAATGAAATAAAAATGTGTACAAGGGTTGCTGCATCAACGACTAGGTGCACATTATGGATGAATACGGGCAAAATTGTTAGACCATGAATCTAATATTACGATATGAACATGAAAAATAGATGTAATACTAATATATTATACATATGTGAATCAACCATAATAATCGAGTGTGTAATTGATAGATGTTACAATATGTCAATTAAAACACATTTTTTTAGTTATTTTATCATTTAAATTATTTTAAAATAATTGGTTAATAAATAATAAATGAATGTTGGAAAACATATAAAAGAAAGATTTGATATGTAAACTTTGAATAATTTTAGGACTACGTTATACGCCCAATTTACAGCACACACTCAGATGAAAATGAATCAACATGTGATGACACCAGAAGTTTTTATGTGGAAAACCCGTAAAAGGAAAAAATCACGGGGCCTTGACCCAATTATAAAAATCCACTATAAGTTGACGATTACAGAGGTCCCTTGTCCCACAGACGGAAAATGGTTAATAGATTTTTCAAGGTACAACATCGGTTAACGATGTCTAGTTGGAGATGATCGACGGAGGTCGGCTGTGGTTGACGGTAGTCAACGACAATCGATGACGGTCGGTGGTGGTCGACAGAGGTCGGCGGTGGTCGCAGATGGTCGGTGGTCGACAGAGGTCACCGGAGGTCGGCAGTGGTCGCAGACGGTCAGTGGTCGACGGAGGTCAACGGTGATAGGTGGTGGTTGACGGTGGCCGGTGGTGGTCGACATAAATCGGCGATGACAGAGTGATGTTGGACTTGAACTCCTTCTCAAAGCCTCAAGTTCTCTCTCAAGCCTTCCCCCCCTTCATGTGAGGGGTGAGGCTCTATTTATAGTGTTCTGAGCAATTAATGCAGGAATCTGAACAATTTTGATCGGACGGCCTGAAGAGCTTCCCTCAATCAGATGATGTTTGATGGACATTTGAGTGTCTTAACGATGTCAGAATTGAGAAATCTTGGGCTCGTTGGATTCGACTTGTCGAGACGCTCGATTCGACTATAAAATCACTAGATTCGACATCCGTTTGATCTTTCAAATGGCTTTGGAAATCCTTCAAGAATGGTTTAATGATTTGATCTGGGCTTGATTTGACTCGGATTATGCTAGTTTTATATCATTGGGTTCGTTTCATCGCGCTGGTCAGTTTAACTATAAGTTTACTGAAATCAAAGCTCTGGATGACTTTTCATTAAGACTTGAATATTTCTTGATCAAAATATTGTCTTAAGATCCATGTCATGCTTCGAGATTTGTGCCAGATGATGATAATTTGTTGATGGCGTATCAGTTGCAAAGCTTTTATGTGACAAATCTTCTAAATGTTCCCATAAGCTTTTATTCACGCACGTTGGCATTTTTATTATATGTTTAGTAATAAATGCTCCCATAAGTTTTATTCTGCTCTGATAGTGTTGTGGTAAAGCGTTGCGACAAAGTGTTGCGATGAAGCATTACGGTGAAGAGTTGCGGCAAAGCGTTGCGGCAAAGTGCTGCGGTGAAGCGTTGCGGTGATGAGTTGAGACACGAGGCATTACGACGGTGTGCCCCGACAAGGTGTCAAGCCGACGCGACACGTTGTGGCCAGCGTCACGACGGGGCGTTGCAGCAGAGCATCACGGTTTTTGTACTTGATGTTGAGGACTGGTAAAAATAGTTCATCAAAGAAGGATTCATGGGGGGGTTTTTTTTTGAATGTCAGAGCGAAAAGCCAATGTTATTTATAAATTCTAGTATGTAATAAGGTTATCAGGGGGATAAATCCCCAATAACCTTTAACTTTCTTGATGCTATGCATCAGAGTATTACTCGATGATGTTCAAATATATTGGAAAACATAGAAAAGTAATATGTGTGGAATGTGCCAGGTGTAGTCCAATAAGAACTGTTAACTTATCTAGGGTCGTTTATCGAAGTTAAAACTCGACGATGTTAACCCATATGGAAGAGGTTGGATCAAATCTTGATCGTGCTACGGCTAAGATACAATCGAAGTTCTATATTTATCGGGTCGAGAGCATGAAGCGACTTGTGAATGAGTTATTATACTTTCTAAAAATATCCTTTATGTAGAGGAGAGTAAATGAATAATATTTGAGATTCATTGATCATTTATGAACTGCGATGTAATAACATACATGTTTGGGGCGTTACTGATAGTACTTGCAAAGATTTTCTGCATTC